GTTAAAACGGAATGGTTATCAGCAGCACTCGAATCTCGACTAGTATGCCAATAGAAGAAATAGATTCCAAAGCAGCACAATCTGAGGGGAGCAACTTTCACAAGATTAAGCTTCTCCGAACAATCTAGCATTGTCCGGCTCGACCTACTTCTATGTATAACATCGACCACTTCAGCTATACGCTCGTTTCGTGTCATAACACCTGAAGAATAGAGATAACATCATCAGCTAATATGTGAAGAAGCATAATCAAAGTCAATAAAAATTTAACATCATACAAAAGAAGATCAGAAAGTTTTTCAATATTAATGGAAAAAAAAAATGGAAAAAAGGAAGAAGGAAGAAGAAGTTAAAATATTGTTATGATCTTGTCCAATCCTATTTCATACTGTGTTCCCATGCACTTAGCATGGCAAAACAAGATATCAATATCACATAACATGAAGTTAAGTAGCGTACGCAAAGTTGATGAGGAGAAGAAGCATAAGAAAAGTTCATAAAAAAACCAACATCGTGAAAAGTAGAGGCACAATAGAAGAGCTTAGTCAAGCCAAGTTCACAATGAAGAAGTATAGGAGAGTGTCTAAATCATAACATCGAATTCATATTATCGCATCATATACATACTTCCATAGAAAACTGTTGATCTTATATGACAACCGCCAGTCAGCCACCCAAAAATGGAAGGAATAGATAACCATACAAGTATAATGGGGGAGAAAAGACAGAAGATAGGAAAAAAAGAGAGAATGTCATCTTGAAAGCTAGAAATGAGAAACATTAGAAGACGAAAACAAAACCTGATTAAAGATGCACGTTGTGATCAATAAAACATCACTCCTCCGACGCTTCATCTGTATCAGACAAGGGCAAAAGGATACAAATCCCGAGCACGTGCCCATTAAGGCACACATAATACTCAATGCAATCTTCATAAGCTCCCAACCTACAGCTTGCACTGTCTGGTATCATCTTAGCTTGCAGCATGTTCCACAACTTCGCCTTACAATATGGACATACCTCTGTAGGATGCAGAGGTGCGCTCCTGTTAATCAGCAATTTCCTTACCTTTGATGTCGTGAAGGATTTAAATATTCCTCGGAAAATCCCAACATCCCCTTCATCCCCTTGGTCAAGATGTTCACAGGGATCAGAAACGTATAAAACATCAGTTCTACACTGTGGTAATAAGAAGCTCTTCCCTGATGTTCCTGAGAACCTTGTTCTGTAGACGAAGTGGCCAGGAATGTGAATGTTCTTGAATAAGCCACCCTTGTCACATCCGGAACAGTATATGAGTAGTTTTCCAAGTGCTCTCCAGTTACCGTCAACAATGTGACTTCCACTAGATTGCAAATCAAGCATCATTTTAGGAGCTCTTGTCTTACAAAACTCCTTCCAGAGGAGTCGTTTGGCAAGATCGTCAAACCATTTGCAAACACAAGAAAGTGTTGCAACCAACTTAGGGTTCCAATTTAATTGATTAAAAACCAGGAATATCACTTCCTCAGTAAGATGCCCTTTTGTGCAAAGACAACTTGCTGAGTGTATGCAGCGGTATTGCTTTGTGATAACCATTGTCTTCGCCTGGCAATGGCAATAAAAATAATGATAAATAGCTCAATGTTGAGATCTGCAAACTTAGTGCAGCTGAATTTGTCGAACAGGCAAGTGGAAATGTCATGAATGGTGAAACATAATTCCATTTTAAGAACCCAATGATGTTCCCAGTAAAATGAAGTCAATAAGAAAAGGCTGATGAAGCACTGAACAACTTTAGTCGCCAAATGAAAACAAAATTTTAAAATCTTGTTGTTTGACAAATTTCATCATCCTTTTAATTAGGAGTAATTTAAAATTAATCATTATCCTATCTCACATTGCATACAAGAGAGAATTTGAAGGAATATCAATTGTAATCAGAACCACAAGGAGAAATCTAAAACAGCAGGAAGTTTACCAAAACTATAGACATCTGAAATTTCATTCTTAAGCATTTCCACGGTTAAAACTTAAAACACATGCTGCAAAGTTAACATATATGATAAACTCTTATAGATTGTCAGTTGTGAAGCATGGAAACTCCTTCAAAGGTGGGGATCCAGTACTAGTGTCTGACATTTATTGTAGGCCAACACATGTTTAATTAACACACCATGTGGCGATTGTCCTATTTTAGCCCATGTTTGGTGGCCCTTTTTTTGGAAAAACTTTGTTTTGAATAGTAAATTTTTGGAGTGTGTGTGGTTAAAAATGGGCAAAAGTTTTGGGTTTACATATAAAATATTTTATTTTGTGAATATATTGTTGAAAATGAGTATATAGAAAAAAGAGTTTTGAGAGAATGGAAGACAAACATGGGCTTAATGTTAATTTCTCAACATACAATGGCCACGAGGTTGGCATATTCTAATCAAAGCTTCAAAATGAGTATTGATTATTTTGAAAAACAAGAAGTTATAAAAATAACGATATAGAATATAAATGTATAATTTTATTTTCATTTGCGTTCTAGGATCTTTGAGTCCCACGTCCATTTCCATGCCTAAAAGATTGTTAGTCTCTATCCTATCAGAATCTCACTACAACACAAATCCGGATCAGATAATGAGGCCAGATATCTTGCGATTCAATACAAGAGAAACACAAGTCTACAGTACCCATCATCCAATCCAAAACATAATTCCTTTTCCCAAACTATGTTAACATCGAAACTTATTTAAGAAAAGGGAACTACAAAAATCAATAAAAAATTACCCCTAAAACCTCATATGCAATAGCTAGCAAAACAAAAAATGTTTAAAGCTTCGCAAAAGAAATTATTTTACCCAACTGAGATATCACGCAACAATCTATAAAACCTGCATTAGCAATAATCCACAAAACCCGAAACTAAACCATATTAGAACAAACCCACTTTAATATAGGACAATTACCCAGAAAAAGTATTTATTTATTTATTTTTCCATCTAAAAACAGTTCCAAGACAATCCCTGTATAAAAACTTATATGAAAAATATCAATAATAACTTAAAGTTTGATTTCCAAGAAAACTAATAGCAGGGCTGTAATAATTAATAAAACCAGCGGTGATGATAACAAATTCAATACTCCAAAAACCCAAACATAAACCATCTTGGAAGAAAAACTAACTTCATATTTAGCACAGTTACTTAGAAACCGTATTGGCTTCCATCTAAAGACAGTTCTAAAACAATAAAGAAACTTCCATAAAACAAAAATATTAAAAATAAAAATATAATGTTTGATTTCCGAAATAAACAAGCAATACCAGGACTGGATCGGGATGGACTTTAAATCAAGCCCCGAAATTCTAACCTCAGCTCAAAAGCAGTTCACTTTCAGCATCAGCCCGCAGATCATATGCAAAACAGCAACCTAAGACAACAAGATATTAGGGATTCTGACCTAATGCAAAGGGCAAAACATAATTCACATAAAATTGAGAAATTACCTAGAAAAATACAAGAAATGCTTAGTATTTTATCTAATTTAAAGGGTTTTTCTGGTCCAAGGAAAAATTTACGGGGTCAGAGAATAACTTTTGCTGCAATTTTTGCAAAGCAAAACAAAGTGTTGAAATCGGTTCTGTAATTACAAGAAAATTTAAATAATATATGATGAGGTACGGCCACTTGCTGTTTCATTAACTAAACAATGGACGAATAATTTAAGTCCACGTGGAAATCCGATACACGAAAAATTACTGTGTCGGTAAATTCTCCTGCAACAGTAGATTTCATGGTGTTTGATAACATGGAAATGAAAAAAAAAAGATGGAATTGGAATTGGAAATTTCAACTTTTAGTATTTGATACCTTATATTTTTCATGGAATTGCATTTCTTGGAACTTGGAATTTTCCTTGTTTTAGTGGAATTTGAATTATTAACATATATGGTGAGAATTCAAATTTCACCATACTGTAGTGATTATTATTATTTTTTCGTCTTTTTTTTTTTTTGGTAATGAAAACCAATTCTAAAAATTATTGTAAAAAAATATTTCCTTTTGATTAACAATTTTCATGTAAAATAAAGTCAAACGTACATTAAAAAACACTTTTATTTCAACATTTTTCATGTGGAAAATTATACAAATCAAATACAATAATTTACAATTCCCAGGAAAACAATTTTAGGCAATTAAATATTTTGGAATTCGTTTTCTAGGCAATTCAATTCCATTTTTGCAATCAAATGGACTCTAAGAGTGTGTTTAATTGACATGGAAAATATCACTTAAAAAAGAAACTATTTTCCATCTTTTGTGAAAAATAAAAATCACCTCTACCAAAAAAAAAATATTTTCCTTAAAAAAAAGGAAAATTAGGCATATTTTCAAAAGTTAGAAAATATTTTTCATGGAAAAAAATAACAATCAAACACTCTAAGTAGGAATTTGGGTGGAAAATTAATATTTGCTATGGAAAATAAATGTAATCAAACACACCTTAAGTTCATTTTCGAGCACCGATTCATACAATAAAATATTTTATATGTAAATCAAATTATTTATTTATTTATTTATTTTTATACTTTTTAGCTATAGATTCTTCAAAAAATTATTATTCAAAACATTACTATTTTTTATTTTTTTTGAAATAATGATTGTCAAACAGGGTCAATTTGTTGAAATTAAAAACACATAATTGTTTAGTGGCAATTGACATAGAAGAAAACAAGAATCCTAACCACTTAATCTCATCGAATCTTGATTGTGTTGGTTAAATTTTAAAATAGATTTTCGGTTATATTCACTTAGTAAACTATTAAGTGATTATTAAGTTAATTTAAATTGAAGATTCATTTTAATAAAATTGGTGGTAATAAAGGCTTAAATTCATATTACTACCTATCATGATACAGTACAATATTTTTAATAAAAAAAGATTATCGATAGTGTCCTACGTAACATATATGTATCGCTTTGTTATTTGATGTATAGGGTAATAAAAAATTATCACGTTAATAAATCAAATAATAAAGCGACACATATAAATCACATAAGATGACTAATGTTAATTTTCACTAAAATGGAATTGGAATTCGAAATTTCAACTTTTAGTATTTGATACCTTATATTTTTCATGGAATTGCATTTCTTGGAACTTGGAATTTTCCTTGTTTTAGTGGAATTTGAATTATCAACATATATGGTGAGAATTCAAATTTCACCATACTGTAGTGATTATTATTATTTTTTCGTCTTTTTTTTTTTTTTGGTAATGAAAACCAATTCTAAAAATTATTTTTAAAAAAATATTTCCTTTTAATTAACAATTTTCATGTAAAATAAAGTCAAACGTACATTAAAAAACACTTTTATTTCAACATTTTTCATGTGGAAAATTATACAAATCAAATACAATAATTTACAATTCCCAGGAAAACAATTTTAGGCAATTAAATATTCTGGAATTCGTTTTCTAGGCAATTCAATTTCATTTTTGCAATCAAATGGACTCTAAGAGTGTGTTCATTTTAATAAAATTGGTGGTAATAAAGGCTTAAATTCATATTACTACCTATCATGATACAGTACAATATTTTTAATAAAAAAAGATTATCGATAGTGTCCTACGTAACATATATGTATCACTTTGTTATTTGATGTATAAGATAATAAAAAATTATCACGTTAATAAATCAAATAATAAAGCGACACATATAAATCACATAAGATGACTAATGTTAATTTTCACTATGAATATCATCATTTTTTTGCTTGGTATTAATGAAGAAAAGGGTGAAGCGTACCTATAATTCAGCATTAACAAACATTATGACATAAGTGGCCAAATGCGATGTGCACTCACGGAACTAGTCACTATGGCATTTACTAAGAAAGTGTAAAAAATATATCCATTAATTAGTTAATAATACACAATAAACATGATTATATTTATTTTTATGCTTGCTTAAATAGCACAAGGATCTAGTTAAAAAGTACATTTCATTCCCCTTCTTCATATGAAAGTATGGAAGAATCCCTCGAATTTAAATTTGATATTGATTCGTGCTAGACGAGGTAACATGAATGCTGCACCCTAATTAGCGAAAGTTCAATAGCCAAAAGTTTCAGCGGTTTACGCTCTACCTTGAATAGCATGAACATTAATATCTACTATTACTACTGGATAGACGAAATTGATGAATTGTAAAATGAATCCCTTGTTTGACATTCTTTAAAAAAAAATAAAAATAATAACAATAATAATAATAATAATAATAATAATAATAATAATAATAATAATTTGAATTGTATTTCTTTGGAGAATGTGTTAAAATTAAGTAAAAGTTTTGGGTTTATGTGTAGAATATTTTATTTTTTGAATATGTGGTTGAAAATACATTTGAAAAATAAATTAAATTAAAGTAAAGGATATCAAACATGAGCTAAATTGAAGTCGAACCATTTAAAAATTAGCTTATGTGGGTGAGAAGAGTGATTTGGGGGCTAGAATTTTTTAGAGCTAAAATTGGGGACTCATTATTGGGGCTTAAACTAGTTTATGGGGGTTTATGGAAGTCGCGTTTTTCATTTGGTGATTTTGATAAGTTGATGGTTTGCCTAAATTGTAAATTTTACAACGACTGTAACTTGTCACTTGAGATTTTCATGCGACACGTTAACAACGAAGGGAATAGAATTTGATAGATGATGTATGAAGTGCAACGTTTTAAATACAAGAAATAATTGAGAAACATTTTGAAACTCAATGAGTAATCCGTGATCAAGTATAAATTGGATGAATAATGAAATATTTGTTTGGCTGAGTTGTGTGTTTTTAATAGTCGTAACTTATTATGTGAAATTTTCATTAGTCATGTCAGTGAAACAAATAACGAATTTTTTTTTTTAAAGGCGATGGATGGATTGAAAACGGACAAAATCCAGTAAGCAATGTGAATAACTTTAAATTTTAGTGATTAAGTCGATGATTGGACCCCGTTTTTTCAAAAATCCATTTTTTGCAAAATTCATTTTTACACATAAACCTAAAAATTTTATTTATTTTTTAAGTACATACTCTTTAATAAAAAACTATTCCAAAATATATTTTGATCCAAAAATAGGGCTCAAACAAAGGCTAAGTATTG